ATAAGTTAAATTAAATAAAGCAAAACTAAACATAGTTTGGAATTTAATCACATTATGAAAATTTCAAAGTTAAGCATCCATCCTATCATCATTTGATAGTGATCAGCTGAACCTGGAACAGTAGAATGGGGGAAACAAAGAGAAGGACCTACAAGTTTCTAAAGGCAACACAAATGTCCAAAAGATTTTAAATCAAATCCAACCTCACCCCAAATTCTTGTTCTAAATTACTTATGGTCATCACAACACAACATCCATAAATAATCATTGAACATTAAAATGTTTATTTTAATAATTAAAATTATCATATAAGTAAGCATGCCTCGACTGGCAGCAAGCTATTAGTCTCTAAAACTCCAAATATAGCCAATCTATAATGTAGCACATCAAATCAAACCAAGGGATAAACAATTATTAGTATGTTACATTCCATCCTAACGCAGACACCAAAAGATTATACTATACGTGAAGAAAAAATAGAGGTTGAAGGGTGGGTATTTCATGGCAGGGTTCACTGCATCAACCATTGGAATCAGCAAATAAAATAATATATGAATAGCTCAATTTTAACAGGACTTTTGAGTAGCATCAGAAAGCACCTGTAGTATGATTGCAGGGTAACATCTTCACAAAAAAGATCCTGAGACTTCCACATGTATCCAATTGATGCCAAGATTGCATCACCATATATGGGTTGACCATACAAGTTGCTTGCCCTTTCATTTAGAGATCCTTCAAAATGAAAAGCTGCTAAAGAATTTTGAACTCCAGATGAAAAATCAAATGAATCCGACCTTGGACCGGAGAAGTACAATCTTTTCTCTGAAGATGTTTTTCCAATTGGCCTGCGGAAAAAAGTAAGCATTTGAATTGATTCTGCACGTTGATGAAATGCAAACACATACATACATGTGCGCATCACTTACCTCGACATCAGAACCCTGTTCCCGTCTGTTAAACCAAGTTTTTTTGCAATAACATCCAGGTAATACCCACTTGAAAGAACATTGAGACTTACAGATTCAACAGCCTTCCCCAGTTCACATGGAATATGTATGGCCTTGACCCACATGCTTTCTGCAAGACCTGCTGGTTGAGTTGCTGAAGCTTCAATGATCTCACGAGGGTATGGATTTTGTCTCCTGATGGAAAAATGTGTTCCAAAAGCAACAAGAGACCCTGATAACCTTGCAACAGCCTTGACAGTATATAACAAGACTAGAAATGGATTTGATTCCACTTTATCATCAATTGCTTTACAGAGATTGATAAGCTTTGCATCAAACACAGCAATGACAGAAACAGGAAGTAAGCCACAAAGATCACCATCTCTTCGCAATGCTGCTCTAAAGTGACCACTCAGTGGATGAAGAGATGAAAGAAACTACAAGCATGATAAAATAGTTATAGCTAAAATAGGTCAGAGAAAGATAACTAGAATAGTCAAAAGCTCAAGGCACCACCAAGAAGGTCTATATCAAACAAACTGATGTAGAGCCAAAAAGGAAAAGAAGCTTGTGGAAAATTTTATACTAAAAGGAAAAGGAAGATTTTACATGGTTCTTTTCTATTATTGAGTTTTTGCTAATTAGCCTTTCCTATTTAGTTGATTTATTTGTTTACTTGTCTTTGTGGTGTTTTAAACCCTATATAGGATACCCTAATTTAGTTGTTATCTGCACTTTTATGATTATTCTACAAACATTATTAAGATATTGATTGATTACTAACATTTTGATATATCTAGTTTTGGTTCTTCGCTAATTTTTTCCAAGTATCATGTTCAACCTCTCTTTGCCTCACATCAGATAGTATCAAAACCTTAAATTTGGTTCGCTAGATTACCATTAGTTTTCTCACTCAAACTACACATCCCTACTGCCAAAACACAGTAGTCTCATTTAATTGGCCTTCCCATTTGTCAAGTATTTACTCTTCTTTTCCAGACATAAGATCTTTTAGTTCTTTGTCAATTTTCTCCAAGTATTCTGTTGAAGCTCTCTTTGCCCAAATCAGATATGTTTCAACAAAATGTGCTAAAAAGTACAAGAACAAAAGATGGTTTCATTAGTGACTCATGGCTACCCTGAGTGGAGAAAGAAATGAACAGACCTAGATAAAATAGAACTAAAATTTAAATCATTGAAGAATAACATTGGCAGAATTGCTGAAGTGATATAACAGCTCACTATGAAAATGATTTTTTTTCTCGGGGAAGCATGTAATCATTAGAATAAAAGTTTCAAAATCTTGTCCATCATGTTTCTTAAGTATCGACTCTTTTTGTCCTGAAAAAGTTCAATATCCAAGGTTCAATCCTGATAAGATGCTAATCTTATTACTACTGTCATTTTTTCATCAATCAATGGGGTCTAAAAGAAAGAATAAGATGGTCGAGTATCTGCCTACAGTTCCTCAATTCTCAGGAAAATTGAAAGGAGTAATGACTTAGACAAGGGTGAGTTGATGTGACAAGCTTCAGAAGGTAATCACAATAAGCATCCATCTTTGAGATAACCTGAAGACCTTTTCTAGCTTTTGCTACCTCTTCTTCAAGGATTACTCATTGTTCTCATTGAATAGCTCTTTTTTCTGAGGAAGCACTTAGTAGCTTTCTTAAAAGTAACTAAATACACAGATCTCCAAAACAATAATAACCCAAGATGAAAACGAGTCAGACAATGTAAAAGTATTTCATTGGCATATTTTTTTTATGGTAGAAAAAAGCCACTTAAAGATCAGTAGAAATCACCAACCTCATTGGAAAACAAATAACTAACACGAGAAATAAGATCATTCCATGCTTCCTCCACAGTGAGGATATTTGTTGAAGAACAAAAGCCTAGCTGCAACAAGAAAAAAAGAATAGAGAAATCAATTATGCGAACAAAGGGAAGCGAAATATTCCACTATCTTCCTCAAATTTATCATTAATGTGAACAAGCAGAAAACAAGAAAGAGACAAAAAATCAAGCATCCTTAAATCAAAGAACAACCAATTTGCAAGCCCATGTGTTTAAAACATGACAAGAATACTGACCAAGAGTTCAATAAACACATTACTTTCCTAGAGAACAAATATACAAATTTTGCACATTAACTCATTATGGAACAAAGCAAATAAATAAATAAAACACACCAAGCACCCACCAATCAAATTAATGGTATGAAACTGATAAGACATATACCAGAAGAAAGCCATCAAGAGGAGGAAAAGGAACCAATAATTATTTTATATAATGTTTCCATTCCCCTTTTTTTTTCTTCCAGAAGAAAGCCATCAATAACATTTCTTTTTCTGTCAAAAAAGATTATATTTGTGTATGTGTGTATATCTATATCTTTTTATCTTAGTATGTGTGCACATATATATAATACATACCCACAAAGATAAATTTTTTGGTGCTAGATGGGATGATGGGTGAATACTTGTATTTCTCCAACTTCCCTTTGCAATTACTGTGAAAGTAGCATCCTTTTCCTTTACTCGAGGGAAGTCCTACCTCACTCTTTCCTTTAGTTATGGAAGCTTTTAACTACGTCATTTTAAGAGCCGCAGACATAAACCTTTAGGAAGCCTCA